GAAACAACATGCCCAGGGAGCGATAAAAATCGAGAAGAGCATTAGAACTAAACTCTCCTCCTTCGTCTGAACGAACAACACGAACCTGTTTTCCAAACTGAGTTTTAATCATGGCAATAAACTCGGTAGCAACAGCTAGTAGATCGGACTTCAGACGAAGAAAGTACACCCAAACAAAACGAGTAGTATGATCCACAAAAAGGGCAAAGTAGCGATAGCCATGCCTAGAAACTACCGGAGAAGGGCCCCAAAGGTCAGAATGAACTAAATGAAAGGAATCTTGGACGATGGTTGTACTAGAGGGAAAATGTTTTCGAGTGGACTTGGCAGCAACACAGCTAGTACACAAAATTTTAGAGGAACTATCAATCATCTTAGTAGTACCAAAAAGACCAAGTTTGACCATCGATACAAGCCGACTCAAATGCGGATGGCCCATACGAGAATGCCAAAGATTCAAATGTTGATCGGGAAGACTCGAAAAGACCGAACAAGAAAAGGCAGGACGCAAAGAAGAACTAGACACCGACTGACTGTTTGATGACTGATCCGAGAGCTCCTCCAAATGAAAGGTCCGACCATGCCTACTCCCGTGCCCGACCTGTCTCCCCGTCTTCTCGTCCTGCACAACACAGCCAGAAGGGGCAAAAACCACCCGATAACCCTGTTCAGCAAGCTGACCGACCGAAACAAGATTGGGAAACAACTTCGGGACAAACAAAGTATTAGGAAGAGTAACATGAGGTCGCACAACATGTCCAATACCCGTGATACCTAACCGATCTCCATTGGCAACCTGTAGAGTCATATCGCTAACGGGCACAACATTTTGAAGCATAGACGCATCACTTGTCATATGATTGAAACACGCGGAATCAAGCAACCAAGGTTGGAGACTACCTGATGTCTGAAGAGAGGCAAACGCGGAGCTCAACGCCGTAGGTAAGGAGCGTTGCAAGGCAGCATTCACAAGATCCTCGACCGCTTCCGGGCTGAGCACCGACCCTCTGGCCGAGGACTGGGGTTGTTGAGCAGCAAAGGCGGGAAGAGCAGCAGACCCCGTGGAGACAGAATCCGACCGAGCACCAGCGGACGATCGGCGACGATTCTGAAGCGAGGGGCAGTCCAGGACTATATGCCCTGGTTTCTTGCAGTAAACGCACATATTGCGCTGCCGGCAATGCTTTTGTAGATGGCCTTTCACCCGGCAATGATGGCATTCAAGCTCCGACACAGGTACACGCTGCTGGAAGTGAGGGCGACCCACAGCAAAGACTTGATCCGCCGGACGATCGGCGCGAGTGGAACCAGACGATGCGGCATAAACAGCATCCCCCTCGCCAGGACGCGCGTTCAGCCGAGCTTGGGTACGAATGCGAGTTTCCTCGCGGAGGAGCTTGCCAAGAACCCCATCAATGGTGATCACATCTTGATTTAGGAGAGTGGACCTAATGGATTCAAACTCTAGGCGCAACCTCATCAAAAAGTGGAGAAGGCGTGCCTGCCGCCTCTCATCCATGACCTCAGCCGAGGCTTCCTTCGAACGCAAGGCGGCGGTGAGCAGGTCCTGCTCCGTCCACAGCTCCTGGGCGTCATTAAAGTAGGTCGAGACATCCCGATCGCCTTGCTCCAGCTGATCCAATGCCGTCTGAACTTCAAACTGGCGCGCCACGTTACGGGACGAGTACGTAGTCTCCAGGTGCTTCCACATAGAGCGTGCATCCTTCATCAACCGAAGACCAAGAATAATGGTCGGATCCACCGACCCCAAAATCAGTGACCTGACCCTAGCATCGCTTTGATTCCACTTAGCGATTTCCATGACAGGTGACGCATCGTCTGGCTTCTCCAAAGAGCCATCGATCAGACCAAGGAGGCCCTTGCCCTCCACAAAGACCCGAAACTGGAACTCCCACACAGCATAATTCTTGGAGTTCAAACGAATAGCAAGACGATCAGAATCGCCAGACGAAAGCTCTGATACCATGTTAACAAATCGAGCTTGATCGAACAGAAAATAACGTCACACACACGATATACGTGGTATCCCCGAGATTCGGGACTAGTCCACGGGAGAGATGGCCTCTCCGAGCTATAATCTTATTATCACCTTGTTCAGTCTACTGCTACAACCTACAACCCGCCAATATATACACCACCAACCCTAATGTTCCCCCATGCAACCCTAATTACGTCCCAAGAGTCCACGTCCAGAAAAGAGAAAAAGGGTCCAGAATAACTATATACATAAATGGGCCAAAACCCAAGATAGACAGATCCGCTAACAGCCATCGTTTCTCTATCGGCCGATATCGCCGGATGCGCGAACAATAATAACCATTCAACAACGGAGCTGACGAACGAGTTCTGGTATCAGTGCAGCACGACGCCGTTCCATCACGAGGAGACGTACGACTGCGCCCACAACTTCCTGTCCACCCTCGCCACCACCGCCTGGTCGACGGCGGAATCGTGTCAGAGGGAGCACACTTACACTAGCAGCTGCCACGACGGCGACACGCAGCTGTCGGTGTACGGCGACGTGAACGAGTACAATGTCCCGAAGTGGAACTGCACTTCTTGCCTTGACCAGGCCCTCGGGATCCTCAGAGATTGCTGTTACGGCATGGCTGGCGGCCACGTGTATTTCGATGGTGTGCCACGCTGTTCTGTTAGGTTTGAGATTTACGACTTCCGTCGGTGAAAAAACCACCGGTAAAGAATAAAAAACAATGAAAACCTTGAACTTCAATAAATGTCCACAATGTCTAGCACTACCTAGTGGCGATATTCGAGCTTAAGAAACAATATTATGCAGGTAGTTTTTTCTCTTAATTTCGCGTTTGAGTGGAAATTGAGTTTCGCGGTGTATAACGTTTAATTGGTTGGGTAGTACTAGTATTGAGTATCCGCATGTACTATGATGGTGCGATACGATAAAACGATTGTCTCGATATTCTATTCAGGTGATAATTAATATAAAATATAGTAAGATGTGTTATCATATTGCTACAATATGATATGATTGATGAATTTTATACTCTATTTGAGAGCTGCAGCCTTGAAATGAAATGAGAGTAAGGTATCAAAAATGGGTGTTAACCCAATTTTTGATCAATCGGTGCCGCCGCTACACCGTAGCATGGTCCATGAAACCGTATCGGAGACCGTACCGGGAAAGTCAGCGTTAGGGTATTTTATGGTAAAACCGTGGTTTAATCGTAGTTCAACCGTTATACCGGTAAATACCGCATATCGGTTTAGCCTCCGATACTGGTATTTCGTGGTTGAACCGCCGATACGGTACGATTTAATGGACACTGCTGTGTAGGTGACTCCAATTGATTAGGTGATCTAATCGATTCCTCTCCTTCGTCGTGATAACTACATTGATCACTCTCCCTCTCTTCTCAGTTGTTAGTAAACGGTATATGATTCACGATTAAACCTCTCTCAACAGATCGAGTTATTGGAATCAACTGGTTCTTGACATGGTATATATCAAAATTTTCTGTGATCGTGAGGTTTTCTGTTCGAATCCCAATAACCCGTCTAAATGGTTGCCATTGAAATCTCTAAATGGTTGCCATTGAAATCTTCAATTCAGTGCATCTCTTTGCCTGATCTGTCCCATTCTCTCTAGTTCTAGTCAACAGAAAACCTCGCGCGCTCTGTCACGATTCACGACCTAACACTTTGCTCCATTGACACGTGTGCTCCTAGAACCCAATTTTAACCTCTCGCGCAATAAAACAGCCATTTAAAGTAGGCAAGGCATCATGAAGAGTTTCCCGAACTGGAACCATTATTCGAATTTTTCATGCACTTTCTCATTCATGTTTATCGAGATTTCATGCTCTCATCATTTGTCCAGTTTATGGGATTAATCGTGATGTTTGGAGTATTGTTTTTAGTTTTTGGTGTGGTTTCACATATTTTTCTGGTATGCTTTGTTACTTTTCTAATGCAACTTCTCGTCTTTATAGCTTTGCTTAATGAGAGTTATGGTGGAGCCCTTCTACTATGCTATATAGTATTGGTGCTTTAATGTACAACTTAAAGTTGTACCATAACATTAAATGTATAAGTTTAGGTTGTACCATAAAGCAATTTGTACCATTATGTTATGGTACAACTTTACAACTTGAAGTTGTACCATCACATAAAGGTACAAATTCAAGTTGTACTATAAAAGAATTTGTACAAAAAGTATAGGTACAATCTAAAGTTGTACCATAACATAAATGTACAATTTTAAGTTGTACCATAAAGGCAAAATCCTATAGCACCAATACTATATAGCATTGTAAAATTTCTCGTTATGGTGTGATTTCACATTGTTATGCTTTCTACATTTTATGGTCTACTTATGAGTTTTGTGGTGTTGTTTATCATATTTCTGCTATGATTGTTTTGGTATACTTTGTGGTAATTTTTTTGGTATACTTTATTGTACGAATTTATGAGTTTTTTGGTATGCTTAAAAAAAATTGTGCTCATAAAAACAAACAAATGCTATTTCCAATACCGGTATCATTGTTGCTCGTTGTCTTCTCCGCTATATTGAGCGCCCACACTGCTAAGATTTCTCTGAAGATTAAATATGCATGGAAAGAAAACAATATCCAATGCGATTAAAATGTAAAATTTGACTATTAGATTCTATATATATTTTTAATGGGTGTCTTAACAAGGGGTGATTAGAAGGGAAGTTGTCTCTCTGGATTCAAAGTTTAATTAAGATCACAACACTCCACCAAATCTTGCATTGTATATATCGGGATTGTTTATCAGAGTTTAGTTTTAGATTGGAATGCGCGCATTGACGTATCGTTAAGATCAATATCATATACGAGCCCTATCTGTTGATACGTATCCATAATGATCATTCATCATTGAGAATCGATTAACGTACTATTTTTTTTTTTTTTTTGTCTACTTGTGTGGTGGACTCATTTTCTCGGTATAGATATTCCACGTCCAAAGGAGAGACCAATCATTCACGTACGTTCTCATATATACATCGTCGATATTGTTGATGACAAACGAGCCCTTGTCTCTCACTTTAATTTCACGGTCAAACTTATCAACTTGATCACTATGAATACCAACTTCGATATCATCCGTAACACACCACAAAGAACACATAAGAAATTAAGACGTCGCCAATCAGCCAGTACTCATCATCATGAAGGCAAAGACGACGTCGTTCATGTCGTTTCGGGCAACTATTCTACTCTTCTTCTTCTTCCTGGCCTGCTCTCCTCCCCTGCCTTGCCGCTCCCACGAACACATGTGCTTACTTCCGCTGAGAGGGCAAGGCACCTCCACCTACAGATACATATGCAACGAAGAAGACGTTGGAAACGACCAAATAACCAGAGACGCGATAGATGCGGTTCTTGACGGCTTGTTGAGCGTGCCTTCGGTTGATTTCAACTACGACGGCGGCGATGTTTACTGCGACAAATCAAATGGGGACCTGATCTACGGCTACATCTACTGCGCCTCCGGCGACAAGGCGGCGTGCCAGGACAAGCTGCAGGGTGCTTATGCTGATGTCGTGGAGAAGAAGTGTGGGAGGTACAGAGTTGGAGCTCAAGTCGTTGCCTCGGACGGATCGTGTCTTAGGTACGAGAAGTACTGGTTCTGTCCATGGCCGTGATGAAGATCATCGATCGACCGATGCATTATTGGGTTCGAATTCGAATAATAGTGTCAAGACGATAAAGAAGATGGAGCAGAGGTCCATGACGGTGAAGCAGCTGATGCAGAGCTGGAATGGGCACATCGAGCTTCAGCTAGAAGAAGACAGTGAAACGCGTTTAGGCTCGAAGACGATTTGTTGTATGCGAAACGTTTCGAGCCTTCGCCTTAACGCGTCGTCAGTATTAGAGTTACCAGAGTTAATTTTATCCTTTGCGTTTTATTATTCACCACGTGTCAAGGTGAATTTTTATTTCTGTTTATTTTACCGTTGGACACAGTAAAACTTGACACTGAGTATAAATAAGAAGAACCCTGCAGCTCGTTGCTTTTGCGGGTTTTCGATTAAACCTTTGCCTCTCTAGATATTTCTACATGGTATCAGAGCCTCAGATCTGATTCTCGACGATCATGGCTACCGGCTCTCCTACTACTCCCCCTCCCGGTAGTGGTACTTCTTCTGGCGGAGCTTTCCAATTTGGTAGCTACACTGAGAATTAGATGTAGAGTGGCAGTGATGAGATCCATGGCAATCCTTTCTATCTTAATCCCAACGAGAATTTGTCTCAGTCGCTCGTCGCTGAGGTTTTGGATGGTACTAACTACTCTATGTGGAGTCAATCTATGCGATTGGCGTTGAAAACCAAGCATAAGCTGGGTTTTATTGATGGGTCTATCCCTGTTCCGCCAGCTGGTAGTGATAACTTTCATTTATGGGATGGTTGTAACACTGTTGTTCTTTGTTGGATTGTCAATTCCTTGAAGAAGGATATTGCTTGCAGTGTTATGAATCATGTGAATGCTCGCATTCTGTGGGAGGAATTGAAGAGACGATTTGGGAAACCTAATGCCTTGCGCATCATCAATCTAGAGGATGACATTCATGCTTGTAAACAGGGTGATCAAACCATTACTCAGTATTACACTGAGATTAAAGGGTTCTGGGAGGATTATCAGTAGTTCTCTCCCATTGTCCCTTGTCCTTGTGCTCCTAATAATCCCAATCCTTGTCATGCTGTGGTCTCTTTTCAAACTAAGCAAGAAACTAACTATCTGATCCGTCTCTTAAGGGGGCTCAATAAGGAATATGAAGTTGTGAAGACCCAGTTGCTTATGATGAAACCCTTACCCACTGTTACCGTCGTTGTTGATGATTTGCTTCTCCATGAACAAAAGCTCAAAGGGGATCAGGCTAAGGCCAAGGGCAGCCAATCTGTTGCACTTGCTGTTGGGAACCAGGTTGGCAGGGATCAGTATAAAGGGCGACAGGAGGTAGGGTCTGGGAAACTATTCTGCAGATATTGCAAACGCACTGATCACACAATCAAGGATTGCTGGAATCTAAAGAAAAAGGAACAAGAGAAGGAGGGGTTTTCTGATCTGTTTCCACATACAGTGCCACACCTTCTTCTGATAGCACTAGCAGCATATTTGATGTGACAGTAGTCCTTCCAAGGCTATCCATGCCATTTCCTCGGCAAAAATTGCACGTCTCAAAACTCTTCTTCAGTTTGGCATGGATGCTGGCCCTTTATCTCCAGGTAGCTCACCAAGGATCACTCCTACAACTTATTTTGTGTCTCAATACTTGCCTGCATTTCCCAATCATGCTGGTAAGTTTGTTCTCTCCTCACACAGTACTATGGATAAGTCTGTTTTGAGCACCATCTGGATTCTTGACACTGGGGCCTCAGATCATATCACATGCTCTTTAGATCTTTTGTTGATTACACTATGGTTCATAACTCCTTTGTCTACTTGCCTAATAACCAACGAGTCTTAGTGAGTCACATAGGAACAGTCCACCTCCCTTCTGGCCTAGTTCTAGAGAATGTTCTTCTCGTTCCTAGTTTCACTTTTAACCTCATTTCCATTAGCAAGTTGACCACAAACTTACCCTTGTCTTTGCACTTCCATTCTTCTGTCTGTGAAATCCAGGACCAACAAACCCAGAAGAGCATTGGTTTGGCAAAACAAAGTAGGGGCTTATACCTTCTCGACCTTTCCACCTTATTAGCACTCACTTTAGTTTCTCCCATATCCCATCATCAAGTTGCTTTCACCTTCAATCTCAAGCCACAAGACATTCATTTATGGCACTAGCGTTTAAGCCACCCCAATAGAGATAGATTTCAACTTACCATGAAACAACACAATGTAACACATAATGAATCTGTCTCTCATTGTGAGATCTGTCATCTTTCTAAACAACGCAAACTTCCATTTCCACTTAATGAGATGTCTGCTTGTGAGCCTTTCTTCTTTATTCATGTTGATATCTGGGGTCCTTTGTCAGTGAACTCATATGAAGTTATAGTTAATTATCTTAACTATTATGGATGATTATAGTAGAGTTGTTTGGGTTTACTCAATGCACACTAAGGGTGAAACTCATCAATTATTACAAGGCTTCTGTCAGTTGGTTAAGCAACAATTTGGCAAAACAGTTAAAACTATTCGAGGTGATCAAGGGCAAGAGTTTCATATGACTGATTTCTATAGGGTTCATGGTATTGAACATTAAACATCATGTGTTGAAACGCCTGAACAAAATGGACGTGTAGAACGTAAGCACCAACACATTTTATGGGAAATGTTTCGAGCCTTCGCCTGAACGCGTCGTCGTATTAGAGTTAGCAGAGTTAGTTTTATCCTTTGCGTTTTATTACTCACCACGTGTCAAGGTGAATTTATATTTATGTTTATTTTACCGTTGGACACCGTAAAACTTGACACTGAGTATAAATAAGATGAACCCTGCAGCTCGTTGCTTTTGCGGGTTTTCGATTAAACCTTTGCCTCTCTAGATATTTCTACAAGTAGGGACGTTTCAATCAATTATCATCGATCACTTGGTTGCGTTTGTCCTTTATTAATGCTAGACCATGTTCTGAATGTTAGAGAGTGACCTAGTTTGAAGATCTGCTCTCTAGTAAACTGTGTTTATGTCATTCTTTTGCTTTCTATAAAAAAAAATGCAGACGGTTTCCTTGTATTTGATGAGTTTAACAAAGTTGTATCAAAACCTTTCATGATCGAGAGAGGCGTTCTATTCGAATCTTGATTACCTCCATTGGTAAGCACATGATGCATGTCTAAGTACTGGGTAAACGTTAGACCCATATGAATGACTTTCGTTTTAGGGGACGTGTATTATGTGGTATAAAATTAATTATTGACATATCTCAACAACTCAAGTTATTGGGGCCAACCGGTTCTGACCGTCAATAATAAGCTTGGATCTTATTCGCTGATGCAGTATTCCCAAATTCCTTACCTTCGGATCGGGATCATAATCATGTAGGACAAGCTCAAAGAAGTATAGTAGAGTTGGTAATACTTCTCGATTTTGATTCGGTACAACGCAAAATATCGAAGATTAAAATTTAAAATCTATTGAGGGAGGTTTCATCTAGTGACCAGTATGAAGACAAATTTAGTAGTGGAAATGCACGGATTATGCTAAACTCTAGAGTCTAGACTATATAATCATATACTAATTAAAAATAAAATATCGTCAATTAAAATTTAAAATATATTGAGATGGGAAGTTTCACCACCCAAATTTAGCTTGAACGTGATTTTTTTTTTAGAATTCAGTTTTGGGCTGGAATGTATGGACGTATGCATTAAAATCAATGATGCAGATGTACCATAATTAACAATCATCATATTTTTCGACGTACGTCACGTGAAGTAGCAATTGGTAATTTGTAAACTTGTGTGGTGGACTCATTTTCTCGGTAGAGATCCCACGTCCGTCTAGGTCTAGCTAGGCAGGAGAAGAGATCTCGATCGCCTTCTTTGTACGTCGATATTATTGATGAAAAAATGGATGAAAATGGATGAAAAACAGGCAACTGCAATGTCGCCTAAAAATGGATGAAAAAACCAAAGTACAACCTATTTTTCCTACAAATACTTACTCGATCAGGGTATTATTATCTTTCTTCACAAAACCAAAATGTCACCAATAAGGTTACTAATCACGTCACTGTTACTACTATTACTTCACAATCAGCCCCGCCCCTGCCGCTGCGACTCCGGCCGCCGCTTCTACTGCCTCCCGCCGGTGCCGGGCAAGGACAACGTACTCTGCAGCCCGCGAAATCAAGACGGCGATTCTCTGCTCCAGAACAGCCTACGACTGCTCGAGAGACGGCTGGTGAATCCTATGGACGAGGGTTTCGGTGGCGGCGGTTATCACTACTGCACTTACGCCAGCTACCAGGGCTTCACCACTCACGGCTATGCGTACTGCCGGTTCAATGACACTAACGGTTGCCGGGACAGCCTGACTGCCGCTTGGAATGCGTTGAACCAAGAATGTAGTAGTGGTTCGACCGGTGGTCAGATCACGACTCTGGGTTTTTATAGTTGTTTGAGATATGAGATGTACTCGTTTTGCTCATCATAGAAAAAACAAGACGGCGTATTGTGACATTAACGTAATATTGGATTCTTCGTTCGTGGTATCGTGGGAACAGATCTAATACTAAATCATGTAATGTCTTCTATCATAAGTGTTTGTTGAAGGAGGAGTTGGAGATCAGGATATCTATCTCAATGCTTGATCATCATTAAATATGTCTCTATAATCTATACATTGAGCTAGGGCTAGGATAGGGTCAGTAGCCTGGACCTTTACATCTAAGTGGGTTCAGAAAATTCAGATCTGAAGGTTGTCAATTAAAAGCATTTTATTTTTCCTAGTTTTCTTAATCGGCTCTTATTTTCTTCGTTCTAACTCAGATTTCAATTTTTTTCACATATGGAACGAGTTCGTTGTGCTCTACAAAATAAGATCAATTTTCAATATATTTCGAGAAACTTTTTTTTTACCAACTACATACCATATGGTAACTTCTTCGTTGTTAAGTCATTTTTGTAAACGTTTGCTCAGAAGAAACGAGTTCATCATGATCTATTGGATCTATAAATTTCTGGGTGAAAAAAAATACAGGTAAACAATGATGAAAGTCATAAATGACAGTTAGTATACTCTTACTATCATGTATTCAACCTTCTAACCATATTGGTATGTTCATACCATCATGATATGCTTTCTTACCATATGATATTAAATAGGAGCATACCATATGGTAATGACGGGTAAAAAAGTATTCAATTTTTTTGTATTAAAAATATATCAAAAGGGATATCATTTTAAAGAGCACATTTAATCTTATTTATTTGTGCAAAAAAAAATTAAATTTCGACTTAAAACGAGAGAGAAATCATCCGTTAAATATTAAAAGAGAAAAGATAAAAGACTTTCTAGGAGAGAGAGTATACTGATGTCATGCTGATGTGGTGTGGACAGGTTACTCATGGTTACTGATCATAAGGTTACTGACATGATCCGTTCCCGAGCTAAGGATATGTGACCTATCATGTGTTTTATTCTGACCCTAATTAATACAATTTCATATGAGACTTCTGTTGGGTTTAACTTTGACATCAATATGGTAATTATAGATTAGACAAATATTATGAGATAGTTCACTAATGGGTCAAAAAGAGCAATTCAGTCTTTAATTGATGAATTGTGTTTTGAGGCTGAAATTAAACGAGCTCATGGTGAGCAGTGCATAGGAAGTCACTATTTGACGCACCCAAAAGCAAAATCATGCATGAAGAGCAAGACTCAAAGCGGACAATCTTCTTGTCAGGAAAAGAATTGGTTATAAATACTGCTTTATAGAACAAGGACTTGGATCTAGTGGTAAAACCATGAGGAGCAAGACTCAAATCGGACAATTTCTTTGTCATAAAAAAAGAATCGGTTATAAATACCGCTTTGTAGAACAAGTACTTGGATCTAATGGTAATATACCACTAGATTTGAACCTAAAAGTCTCAGGTTCGAATCTCTTAAATAATACCAAACTAAAAAGAAGGACTTATATCATTCTTATAAAAAAATATATTGTTTTATAAAGAACAATGTTTATAAAAAAAACTATTATCTCCACAATTATCACGAGGAAATTGAAAATTTTGTTGCTAGGTGTTCTTCGTGCGCATGATCTTTGTAAGAGGTCGATATATAAAATTTGGTTTAGACCTTTTTCAGCTAATTATTGAGCTACTAGGATTGATTTGGTAAACTAATTTCAAACCATAAAACCAATGTGGTTCCAAACAATTTAATGAGATGAAAATCAAATATTTTGACCATAGTCGAAACTGAATCCGAGGTTGACAACAACGAGAGGAGTTAACTAGGTCTCATCTTTTACTAGTTGTAGAATTATTTCACTTATATATTCACGACCATTTCCATATTTCACCAATGTTATACAAATAAAAAAAAATATTCAGCTTAATTTCCTTCCCTTCATTTCTGTTTACACCAACAATCAGAACCGAATAACTATGAGGTTGAGAGCCCATATTGTCTACTTATATGGTGGAATCATTTGCCTCCCTAGAGATACCACATCCAATTGAGAATGGAGATCAATCGCATTGTGCGTTACTGTTTATTTATTTATTTATTTATGATCCCAGTTACGCATGCTGAATGTCTTGAAAACTTTGTTATATATTTCACTCGATCGCTAGTGCCGTCATTTGTGGTTTGGATTAGTGCAGGTTGCAGTACTTCTTATTTTCCAAGCGTACGCCACCGTCTAACCCATTTTCTTCTTTCGTTGTTGCTCCCACAGCCGGCCGCTTATCAGCCGTACTGCCTAGAGGTGGCAAATGGATTGGATTGGTGGATTGGTGGATTCATGTATCAAATGGATTGGATCTAATGGATTGGTGGATTCATGGATTGGATCAAGTGGATTGGTGGATTATCCATGAATCCAAATGATATCCTCAACCAAGGACCAATATGTAAAATGTAAAAAGTTTAGGTACTAAATGTCATAATGAAAAATTTTAGGTACCAAAACGTAATTTTCCAATGATATTTTTCGTATAAAAAATTACATTTTAGGTACCACAATGTAAAAAATAAAAATTATAGGTACTAAACCGTAATTTGCCAATGATCCATGGATCCAATCCATGAATCCACCAATCCAATTGGATTTGGATAAAATGGATTGGATTTAAATGGATTGGATTAGGTGGATATTTTTAATGGATTGATGGATTGGATTGGTGGATTGGATTGAAATTGCCACCTCTAGTACTGCCGGTTCGGTTACAATCGCAACCTAGTATTCGGTGATCGGTTAACTGTTTATTTTTTTATTATTGTTAATTGCATTATTTATGTTAGTCGGTTAACCGTACTAATTGTATAGTCGATATATATGTCGGTTAACTGACTAATCAATTTTAGCAAGTGATTCGACAATACTGAGCGTTGTCTTTGCTATCTTTAATTTCCTCCCGCATAACTCGTCTAATCTTTCCAATCAAATCTTGATCCTTACATTTTGATTGCAAAATCGATGGTGCTCATTGTCTCTTTTAATTTTAGGGTTCACACAGGAAGAAAATTAGGATAAGAAGAAGATGATTGGGAAGGTGAGGAGATTGTGCGCTGAAAGCTAAGCCATTTCAGCCTATTGATAACCGCACCGCTAACTTATAAATTCGATTAACTGTATAACGCGATTAGCCGTTAATTATCGGTCTGTTTATCAGTGTAACCGCTAATCTACTCCTAATCAGTCAGCCCAGTCTTTCACTTCCCTATGTTGGCTGTTGGGGTTGGTTTCTCTCTCTCTCTCCTTTCTCCTACTATATATATATATTTGCCTCCTCTCCTGCGCAAATTGATTAAGCTCACATTATTATACGATCCCTCTCGATCTCCTCTTTATGGACGTAAACACATCTTGATCGAACCAAATCATTGTCGTGCTTTTCCCCCAACTTTCTATTACGATGATGAGCTCAGCATTATCATCACTGTCGGCTCTACTCGGAATGGTTTTGTCAACAATTTACCTTGGAATCATCAACCACTAACGTTTTAACTTCAGGGCCAATCCAATTCTGACAACATGGAATAAAACACAAAAATCAATCTACTTCTACTATTTGGTTGTTGTTTGAATGGTATCAAAGGAGGAAAATTCACCATTCATTGTACAAAACTTTTTTTTTACAGGAAAATGCGTGCACTGCATTTTAACGTGGAGCAAAGTTAGGGTACATACAATATACATACCCTAGGAGAGGCATCACAAAAGCAAAGGGAAAATGAAAGCCCAACATAATGGCCCGTACAAATGCAAAAGAAAGAAACAGAAACAGGCCCAGCAGAAGTACAACCAAAATATAGAGCCCACACAAACCCTAACAAGCAAATGTGAATCACCCCACATCAGCAGCCGCCTCCTTCAACCCTCAAGAACATCAGCTGATCACCACCAACCCCGCCGCATGAAGATCCAGTCCCTCTGAAAAGAAGATCCCCAAAGAAGAGACTCCAAAAGCTAAGAGAAGAGACATGCAGAGACATGAGAGGGAAAACCAAAGCCGACTGGAAGAGATCAGAGGAACCCGACGCGATCTGAGAGAGTGTGCCCCTGCCTTCTTGTCCATAAACCGCATCCAGACCGCTGCATGATGAGAAGGTCGTTGCATCTCCGGATCACCGACTGTGTGGGTGAAACAAGGAGGTAGATGGGAGATTTACCAACAAGAAGGCAAGCCACAAAAACATATTTCCATAGCCACTTTGCCCACCAGAACGAGTAGGGATGGCAATGGGTCGGGTTGGGGACGGATAATGGATACCGTTACCCTACCCAAAGTAGTTCGGGTTTTACCCATACCCATACCCACATATGAAACGGGTAGAAAATTAAAACCATGCCCATACCCGTTCGGGTTTCGGGTATCCACGGTTATCCATGGGTAATGATTTCTCTTCATAACTCCAACTAATATATTAACATTCACACGTATTCTCACATTAGGCAAGAGGAAAAGTATGACAACAATTCACTAGAATGAAGAAAATTAATTAAAACAACACAATTTCATGAAAATATTATATTTATATGCTAAATATAAAAAATATGTTAGAGAAAAATAATGACTATTTCTAGACAAAATACATATGTATGTGTATAATCGGGCGGGTTCGGGTTGGATACTGAGAAAACCATGCCCACCCATTACCCGCGATATTCGGGTTCGGGTTTTACCCGTACCCACTAAATATCCTTCGGGTTTGGGTTTTACCCTACCCGATTAGGCCGGGTTCGGGCGAATATCCACGGTTACGGATATTTTTGCCATCCCTAAGAACGAGCCCTCCAGAGCTTCAAGATCAAGACTAGAAACAGGAAGTTGGAGCAGAACCAAACCGAGAACCGACTTCAAGATCTAAAACCATATTTGAAATGTGGAGGAACAACTCCAAGGAGAAGTTCATGGCAAAATCCATTTAGGAAAGTAGCACAAAAGAAATGGAGAGAGTCATTGGAAAAAAAAAACAAG